ATCCAAAACTTGAATGACAGTGTTACAACACCCTGGCAGATCTAGACGCTAAATTGTTTTGATGATTCCCATTAAAACTAACACCTTTGGTTATGTTATCTTCTAAAGTTTTCACGCATAGGTAGAACGTTCAAAACGAAGTCCCCGTACGCGTCCTGGGCATCCATCTTAGTGTGGACTGCTCCTGGAGGCCAAGCTGGTCTTGAACTCAATTTGGGCTAGACCTCCCTCATGACTTGGATGCCCTTGCTGATCCTCTTCACCTCTATGCCTTTCTCCAAGTTTTTTATGATCCTCTACAATGTTCTCAAAAATAATAAAATCATTAGATAGCAAACTATTCAATCATGAAAAAACCGCTTAAGAACGATATATGGCCTAGCAGACCCAAGGAAAAGGTGGATAATAGAAATATGATAGAGATGATAGAAATATGAGTTGGGAGGCGTTGGCTGCTGCCATATGTCAGAGTTCGGCAGCGATGGCTGCTACTGCTAATGTGCCAAGCCAAATATTAGTAATATTTTATATGTTATTATTTGTTTCAAGAAAATATGGTCATGTGAGATCTTATTTTGTAGGCAAAATTACTAGAAATATTATGATGAAAACAAATAATAAATCAGATGTATGGTTCATTAGATATTAGGATTTGAAGCTTGAACATCTAGCAATTTTTATGCGTTCAAGACCAGGAGCTGGTACGCGTACGTGGCCTGGCGCCCTGGCCCCCGCTCGGTACTGTCCCCTGCGCCACCGCGACAGACGCTCTCTTTCATTTGAATCACTGACAGCGGGCCCGACTACCCACGTGGAGAGCCACGAATGCCCATCAGACCATCCCGCTCGCCATCTGACTGTCCGTACCTCTCTCGCTCACCTAAGCATAAAAACGGTACGGAAATATCTCGTACCGAATCGTATCGTTTTGTATATTTAATCCGATCGAATTCGTATTTTTGGATAAATTCGAATTCGGTTCGAAATTCGAAATACCAAATTCGAAATCGGAACAAAAACGGTTTATACATTTTTTCGATCGTTTTCTACTTTTCTACTTTTAATTCAGAATATCTCGAATTCGAAATTCGATTTCAAAATTCGGTTTAAACCAAATTTGGTCCACTACAAGTCTAACTTTAGAAAAATTATATCCTTTTCATACGATCTCGGATGAATATGATTTTTATATGAAAATTGTAGCTCTCGACGAGATCTAGAAAGTACTTTCTAGTTAGTTTTTTCATTTGATGTCTTGAAGATGTTCAAAAAAATTAAACAAAGTCAGCGATATATTAATCGCGTACATGCGCTTGTTGCCTTAAAAAAATCATATCTTCATTACGTCGTGTCGAATGAAGATACTTTTTATGAAAGTTGTAGAACTTGTTAATTATTATGTACTTGTTAATTGTTATGCACTTGATCCTACGGGTCAATATTCCGTATTGATTTTTCGTATACCGACCGTGTTCGACATAATTCCGCTCGAATTAGTTCGTTTTCGAAATTTTTGATATTCCGTAAGTTCGTGTTCGTTTTCATGTCCGACTTTACTGTTTTCATTTTCGTTTTCGTATTCAAATGTAGAAGTAGAAAACGGTTGAGAGACTTTCCGACCATTTTCATCCCTACTCACACCTATGAATGAAAACGGTACGGATATTTATTCGACCGTCCGTTCGACCGAACAAATATGAACACTTATCTGGATAGTTACTCGGATATCCGTAATTTTTTTCGGATACGGATAATAAAACGGATATCTTAGGCGGATATCAAATACGAATGTAATATCATCGATATCCGGCGGATATCGGATAATCCGGTTAAGTATCAGATATATCCGGATATTATTCAAACGGATATTATCCGGATATTATTCAAACGACCTTGGATGGAGAAATGATCAAAATAAAAATTGTAGATCTCAAAAAGTTATGAAACTTTGCTGTCTACAACTTTTTCGTTTGAAATCATTTAGTGCTTCAAAATTTAAACCGTCCAAACTTTCTCAAATGGAAAACTAGTTTATAGGCGTCAAAATTTAAAAATCACAAATTTGAACCATCCAAACTATCTCAAATGGAAAGTTGACCAAAACAACAATTGTAGATCTTGATGAGTTGAACAAACTTGGTATTCAAAACTTTTCAATTTGAAGTCATTTAGAGTTCATAATACTAGAGTCAAAGTGTTGTTTTTTCATTTGACCAAATTTGACTTGGTCAAACTTGCTCAAATGAGACACTAAATGACCTCAGATGAAAAAACTATGAATACCAAGTTTAATCATCTCAGCAAGATCTACAATTGTTACATAGCTCATTTTTCCATTTGAGAAAATTTTATCAAACACTAGTCATAAATTCTTGAATCTCATATAGACTTTCTGAAACTATGTCAAACACTTATGAAATTTGAACTATATTTTGTTCAAACTTTCTCAAATGAAAAAATGGCCTATATAAGGATTGTAGATCTTGATGAGTTGAACAAACTTTATATTCAAAACTTTTCAATTTGAGACAATCTGGGGTTCCGAAAACTAATTTGTAAACGTCGAAATTTAAAAATCACAGATTTGAACCGTCCAAACTATCTCAAATGGAACGCCGACGCCGTGGTCAGGATCCTGTTCCCGAGGCCCCTGTACGGCACCAGCACGAGGTACCTGCAGACGCCGTCCTTGGTGCCGTTGCGGCGCTAGGACCTGAGCAGCGCGGCCGTGGCCATGTACGCCTCGGTGCCCGGGCGGCACCGGCGCTGCAGCGCTTTGTGCTGGCGCAGCCACTTGATGAGGTGCGCGGACGATGACAGCGTCAGAAGATAACGAAAGGTAGGGGTTTTTCTATAAATGTATGTTTGATTTAATGTTAAATAAATGGTATGGACCTACAGTGAACCATTTTAAAAGTTCATGGACCCAAAAATGCAGTTTCAAAGTTGATGGACCTAGATGACACCCCAACGAAAGTTAATCGACCTCCGGTGCATTTTACTCTAACCAAAAAATAGTAATAGATATATTCAAGTTCAGAGGCAAGCACATCTATCTAAATAACCGAAAAATAGTAGCATGCCCGTGCTAATGCTACAGTAAAAACCCAAAAAGACGGTATTTTTCTATACACACGCCCTCCCCAGCTCTCCCTTCAGCACGGACGCTCTCGGCCCAGGATGGTCCAAATGCTAGGTTATAAATCCAGCTCAACAAAAGCTAATATTACAGTGGCAGAGCCACAATATAGAATGAGCATATAATCGTATCACCATCATTTTTTTCTCAAAAATTTAAATATTACCGTGTGATGGCATAGTAAAATGATTCCAGTGCATGATGAATAAACGAGCTAACTCAAATAAGAAAACCACAGGGAGAGCGCTAACCGCTAACATCAGTTACAATCACCAATGACGACTGAATGCACTTTCCCTGCAATTATAATAAAAACTATGAATCCGTTGCCATTAACAAAAGAAAACCCTGCCAAACTATTTGTCTAGCGGGATTCACAAATGTGCAGTATTTGTGCCAAAAAAGAAACATAACGGATGCTACAATCCAATTTTTTTCGTTAATAAATATGCATGCTGTAATTACTCAAACAAAAATTATGAAGCATTATCTGGGTGCCATATGAGAATGGCTTGAGGTCGCTCTAGAAGCGAGGTCATGAAGACATTCAGGGTCTGAGATATCTTGGTTAACTTCACGTTGTTGCATGAGTTAAAAAAATGTGAGAAGTCGGCGACAATTTGTGTATCTTTCACGACATGCACCAAGAAATCCATTTAGAGTGCAAACAGCCAAGAACCCAACATTATAATCCATATGAGAAAAATATATGAGAATGCGTGTGGAAGGCCAGAAGTGATCAAATTATGGAGCACTAATGTATCTACCGGAAACATCTTTTTTTTTGTTAGTGAGCTAAATAGAGCATGTCAATAGGAATTTATACTATTGGTTATACTAAATGCCTTAATAGTTTGCAATACATCCATATTTCTAGTAGCATGGCTCACTTTTAGCGACCATTTAGAGAACCAATTACAGTTAGTGGGGAACACTTGTAACCAAAAAAAATTCAGAAAAGAAGTTTAACCAACCAGCCCAAATTCATTCAGGAGCCACTGCCAACAGGAATATAAAAGGCTAAGTTGTAAGTTCAAAATTAATTTGTTGCTGTCAAAAAAAAAGTTCAAAACTAATTTACTCACCTCCCATATTTACTGAGTAGGTTCTCAATGTCAGTTTGCCAGGCATGATGGGCAATGTAGCAAACGAATAACTTTGTGTTACTAACTTGTTGACCAGATGGATCATATCGACCTATTTTATGCTGCAAGACAAAGAAAAGGTCAAGATACCCGCACAGAGGATATTTGTGCGAGAGCTAACGGATATGCAAATAGACTTGATACATGATATGTCAATTAATTGGTCTACCTTTACCAAATCATGTTGCTCCTATTCAAGTTCCATACATAACACACATGAATAAATTACTTCTAATGAAATATTTCGTAATAGTCAAGATTGATTTAGGATGTTCCATACCTAGTCAGACGTTATGCTCCATCGCTACATGAGCGTAAACTGTGAGCGGCAAATTAGAAGATCATCATGCTCCATAGCTTCATGAGTCTAAAGTGAAGTTGAAGTTAAAAAAATCATTAGGCTCCATAGCTTCGTGAGCTTAAATTGAGGAACATAGGTACACATTGAATCCATGTTGAGAAAAATGTATCTGAGAATGCCCATCTAAATTTCAACATCAGTAATTGCACCCAAGCCAGAAAACCACGTCTCTTGATCCCATTTGCACTATCTATCCAAAAGCCACCAAGATGGGGAGGATGAAGAGCAGAAGGGCTAGGAACATTCAGTGCGAAGCACACAGATCTGCAGGCGCAGATCCAGTATAGGACATGGGTGTGAACATGATAATCTTTGGAAGGGATCGAAGACTGTAGGCGCAGATCCAGTAAAGGACATGGGTGTGCACAGGTATGCATGATAATCTTTGGAAGGGATCGAATTTAGCAGGCATAATACATGTAGACACATGTAATTAGATCAGTGCGAAATAAAAATAGCCAATTAGCTTAAGTTAGGGTTCGGTGCTCGGTTTCACACTTTCCCACAGCAGGAACGCGCCGGCGGGCGATCCTGGAGGCGGCCTCGTTCGGAGGTGTCGAAGGATTAGGTTTCGGTGCTCGGTTTCGCACTTTCGCACAATAGGAAGGGATGAGAAGGGATTGGCACACCTGGCGATCCTGCTGCGTCGCGTCGGGGCAGTGGCGGGCGATCGTGGAGGCGGCGGCGGCCAGTGGCATCGGGTCGGCGGCGCAACTCCGGCGTCCGGTGGCGTCAGGCCCATCGATGGATCGGGATTGAGGAGGATGGAGCCGAGGTCGCGAGGAGGAGGCCGCGGTGTCGCGAGGTCTCGTGAGGGTGTCGCATGAGGCCGAGGCGGCGGCGTCGCGAGGAGGAGGCCGCGTCATCGCGAGGTCGCGAGGAGGAGGCTGCGGTGTCGTGGTCTCGTGAGGGCGTCGCACGAGGAGGAGGAGGAGGAGGCGGCGGCGCACGAGGAGTGGGCGCGACGAGACGAGACGGACAATTCGGTCCCACCTGCCGGCGCCTTCCAACTGGAGTTGCGGTATCACACGATGAGGCAGAGCGACGCGACGAAAGGATGGTCGCACCATTCCGATGTCTTAGTTTGGGTCTTTTTAGTTGCGAGATATATATATATATATATATATATATATATATATATATATTATGTTTGATACCACACTGAAATCTCTATATGCATGTCGTTAGGTCTTACTACTAACTAGTATAATGTTGTTATTGCAGTTGCACGTCCACCCTGTCGAGCTCTGCTTTCTCTTCGAGGCCAAAAAGAGTACGTACCCCATGCTCACTCAACTTAATTAACAGGACAGATGGTTATGCCAACTATTGGGTTATACCGCAGTTCCCAGAGATATACTCTATCGACAAGCTCAGTTTCATTTTGGGCCCAATGTCCACTGGCACTTTAAACGTGACAATGGTAGAGCAAGAGCAGCCGCCACTGGACCTAGGCATATTTAAAATACTGATGATCGCCATGGGAAGGGGAGAGAACTTAAAGATCTGGTCTCATGTATTGGCAACGAACCAGAGATCCTGAAGCTAGTTGAAGAGTTGGGTGAAGATGTGCATTCCGCAATTGTGGCCGCTGTCGACTGCCAACCAAGGGAGAGATCGTCTCCCCCGAAGGTGAGTTGGTTGGTTGGTTTTCATCTGTTTTAATTAATCTGGATTATATTTTTGTTGTGTCAGACCGTATCGTCGGTGTCATTTACGAGCCTGGGAGCCATAGATGTGCATCCCACAAAGCCATGGTCAGAAGATTTTGACGCTTGCTAGCTGTGTTACTCCTTGTGGACACCAAAAATAAAAATAAAAAATGAGTTCCATGTATCTATCTTACACTTACTTTCGCTCTAATTTCATCATGTAGGATTTTGGCGGGTGGTAACAACTATCTTACCATTTGGGACCAAAATGAGGAGGTAATAATGGCATATAAGTATTTGTGATTCGTCTCATGCGCGCGTCAGCTATCGATCATGTTCTATTATTTTCACGAGCTGAGATGGTTGCTGAACCGTTTATTTATTCGCATCGATCTGGCGCAGTTTTATTTATTAACCCTAGCTATGAGCATTGAGCAGGCACAATACTAACTCTTTTCATTAAAATTGTCAGGCAACAGTGTTTGCATTAGATGTGAATGAGGAAGGAAGCACGGTCCCAAGACTAGGGATTGTGGCGGTTATATTCATCCCTCGAAAGCAATGGTTTGTGACCACAGATGATGCGGGATATGTCCAAGTCTACTCCTGTGAAACATGGCAAAGAATAAAGACATTCAGAGTTACCAGTACCAGTCATAGCCATAGCTTTGTCATGTCAATGGCGATTCACCCTATACCCACCCATACCTGCTATTGGCGTGTATTGACGGCCTGTTCGAGCTCTGGAACTGGGACAAGGGCTGGACCTGTTCTCAAAAAGTTCGCTCATCCTCTGACAGTTCAACCCTAAGTTATTTCACTGTCAAATTTAATCCAAACAACACGGAGACCTTTACGAGCGGCGACAGATACTCTGGACTGAAGGTTGGTCTGTTTCCCTTCCCTTGTGCTAGTTTTTCTTTTTATGCTATTATTACTATTATATATATTCCTCCCCTCTTTTCCAAAATAGTATATACACTTTAGTTATGCATTTAGGCAAACCCTTGTCTAGATATGTATAACTAGAAGTTGATTTATTTGGGGATCAACGAAGTATGATAAGCTTTAGGTCTGTTTGGACACAGTGGCTAATTGCTAGCTAGCTAAAAATTAGCTTGAGTGCACTGAAACAGCAGAGCTAATAGGAGTGCTAGTTTTTAAGCGAGTCTTCAACTAGTTGATAGCCAACTAGCTAGCCAACCATAACTAATTTGAGCTAATTTTTAGCCGCAACTAGTAACTAGCCGTGTGTATCAAACAGGCCCTTAGTTCATGTCCTAACCTAGTCTGACTCTGGTCTTCTACCTCAAAACCCCGTTTAACAGGTCTGGTCAATTAATGCTCCGAATAAGCCCATCACAACCATACAACAGTATTCTGATACTTACATATTCTATGACCATGTTTTCACTGAGGCTAGTCAGAACCATGTGGTTGTCGGCAAAGATGGTCGTCTAAACGTAAGTATTGCTGTGTGTGTTTGTACTGGATACCAATCGATCGACTCGAATGATGTGAAATTCATATTTTTGGTTCTCATGTTGAATCAGATATGGGATTTGCAGACAGGGACACGTGTTCACACACTCTATGAGACTGGAAAATATTTTAATACCGCAATAGCTTGCCACCCAACACTTCCGCTAATAGTTGCATGTGTCTATTCCAACATTTCCAAGGATTCCCCAGGCCAGCCACTTGTTCGCTTCTGGAACTCCACTAATTACAGGTGCGTGTACTCTCTCTCTCTCTCTCTCTCTCTCTCTCTCTCTCTCTCTCTCTCTCTCTCTCTCTCTCTCTCTCTCTCTCATGTATGTATGTATGACCATGTATATTGTATACATGCATGTAGGAAAGAAGTGAGCCTATCTATTTGCATCACTACTGGAGGCGCATGCTTTGCCGAGGGCCTCTGGCCCTCGGCAAAGGCCCAGAAACCCTCGGCAAAGGCTTTGCCGAGAGCTGCCCTCGGCAAAGACCCCTCGGAGAATTTTTAGACGGCGAAGGGGTTTTTGCCGAGGACCCTTTATCGGGCACTCGGCAAAGCCTTTGCCGAGGGCTAGGACGGCCCTCGGCAAAGAAAAGAGGCCGTCAGGCGCCCAGGCGCCGTTAGCATAGCTTTTTTGCCGAGGGCCCACCCTCGGCAAAGAAATGGTATTTTTTTGAATTTGTTTATCGAGGGCCGACCCTCGGCAAATAATTTTTTTTTAAAAAAACCTTTGCCGAGGGCCTCCTCCCTGTCCCTCGGCAAAGAAATTTTCAGGATTTTTAAAATTTTTTTGCGAGGCCGACCCTCAAAAAGTCGGCAAATAATTTTTTTTATTTTTATTTTTAAAACCTTTGCCGAGGGCCTCCTCCTGGCCCTCGGCAAATAAATTTTAGGATTTTTAAAATTTCTTTGCCGAGGGCCGCCCTCGCAAAGAAATGGTTTTTGAATTTTTTAACCCTTTGCCGAGGGCTGCTCCCCGCCCTCGGCAAAGAAATTGTCGATTTTTTCCAAAAATCTTTGCCGAGGGCTATTGCTTGGGCCCTCGGCAAAGGACCCTTCTTTGCCGAGGGCCTTGGTCATTGCCCTCGGCAAAGAGACAAAATTTATTTTTTTTTTTTTTTGCATTCCATCGACACAAGCATTTCATATATATACATATATATATCACACAGAACCCATTTCTCACAATATATCACAACCATAATTGTGAACCACAAATCACAATATATTACAACGACAAGTCACATGTTCATCATTATTCACATGTTTATTACGACAAGTTAATGAAATCCAAGCACAAGTCACAACCATAAATCACAAATCACGCTAAAGTCCAACCACATCACCTAGCATGAGTCCTCATCAAGCTAGCCTATGAGACGATGGTGAAGGAAAAACAGGATCACCCGGTGACGCACTAGCGGGTTGATTGGAACCCGCGGACGGAAGCTGCACAAAGGAGCAGAGATTGCATGTGTGAGTAATCCGGGAAAACAGTTTTGGAACTTAGAGATTGCATCTAGTATTGTAGGAATAAAGTATTGTAGGAATAAAAAGATTAGACTCAATTGAAAATTTCAGCAGCACCTCCCCTGCACGGGGAGGTTTCCAAAACCTGCAAGAAACGACGGCACGAACGCCGACATCCACAACGGCACGAAGGCCGACATACATGCAAAGCACAAGCGAAAAGTGAACTTTCATACTTACAGGAGTAGTTGCAGGAGTAGGAGGTGGAGGAGGTGGAGGAGCTGAAAACTGCACAGGTACACCCGATGCTTGCCCAAGACTTTGCATGATCACCATCATCTCCGCCATCTGCTTCTGCGCGGCCTCGAACGCGACCTTCTGGGCCTGCAGCTGTGCGGTCAGCTCCGCGTTCTGCTCTTGACTTTGCCTTTTTGTTTCTTGCAGCTCGGCCTGTAATATTTCACTCCAATGTATCAGTAATGCAAATCTAATTTAGGTGTGTAAATATCTACGTACGATGAGTAAAACAAGAATTACCTAGAGTGCTTGGACCTGCTGCAGTGCTGGAGAAGGCCGTGGACGTATGGGCTGGCTGGAGCTCGTGCTCCGTGCTCGGATAGCGTCGAGGGAGGGAACAGTGGTGGAGTCGATGGCGCCGTCTGCAATCCACAGCCGCCCGTGCTTCTTGCCTCCTCCAAGCCTTATGATCGCCTCTGCATCAATGGGCTCAGTGCGCACATTGTAATCTTCCCCATAGATCTGCCTTACCGTTGACGTGTACTCTTGGACTTTAGTGTACACGTTAAGGTCGAGACACCTGGGCGGGGCAGCCAGTCGAAGGAGACAGAGGACGACGCCGCCCATGTGGGACATAGCCCACGCAGAGAACTCCGAGACCTCCCCGCCTGGGTCAAGCAGCCTCTCCTGCGAGGAAGACGGGAAGATGGTGAGAAATCAAGTAGAATTGAGCGTCAAAATAAATGAAAGAAATCACTTACGATGCTTGTTTGTATCCGGGAGGCTACGGCTGCCTTGATGGTGAGTTGGACCTTGCCTCATCGTGACGCCGTTCCCCTACCGCCTCTCGTGCGTGTCAACAAAGTCCTGTGATAACCACTTGTCCACGATCATGGCCCAAAGACTCGGGATACGATCGGCACCACCAGGAATCACCTACAAGTCATCAAGTATTTGACATATAAGAAGATGAAATTGAACCTACTTAATATCAAAACGAATCATTATGAATGTTATTCGCCTACCTCAAGGTCTTCGGGTCCCGGGTCAACAGAATCCGTCTTGCTTGAGGCTTGGGAGGGACCGCCTAACTACCGACCAGTAGTAGTCTATGTGGGCTTGGACGCCCCCATGGTGATGCATCTCGGTGATGTACTTCCTACAAGTCTGCAAGGCACCCCGCCTCGATCCGCCTAGGCCTCAAGTCCTTCTTCGACCTTGAAATATTTCTATATACAAAACCGATGTATCCATTCATTATTTCGATAAAAGATTTAACCAATGAATGCGATGTATTAAGCAATGTTGTGCGAGAGAGAGACTTACCCAAAACTCCGCCAATACTCGCTCCCGCTTGTTGCGAAGTGTCATCCGTGACCAGCGCATACCTGTCCCGATTGGAGGCCGCTCCCGCACCACCGCTCTTGAGGACAGTTGCACAATGCGGAGGTACCATTTCCCGCACAAAACACCAAGGATGCTCATGAAGTGCGTCTTTGGAGTACCCGACAAAACCAACCAGGCTCTACACAAGTGATTAAGAAAATTTATCAGTTTCTCTTAAGATTTCCAACATATCTTATGAAGTAGTTGTGATAACATTCATAGTTACTTACCTCTTTGCCATAGGCTGAATCACCGAGTGGTTGTGAGGAAGCGGAACCGGAGGAGGCTCATGGGACCTCGCTCGTGAGAGTCCGTCCGGGTGGCAGTACCTCTCCCTCGCCCCCAGCGCCTCGCCTCCCTCGCCCTCGAGCGCCTCGTCTCCCTCGCCCATCTGTTGACCCCTCTCGTCCTCCGACGAGGATGAGGCCATGGCCGTCACGTGCTCCTCCTCTAGCACCTTGTCATGTGTCGAGGGAGGAGACCACGCTGCCTCTGCGGCGGCTGCCCCTCCTCCTCCTCTCACCACCTCCTGGGGCGCTACCCCCCGACGACGACCCCTCACCTCGAAGGAGAGGGCGGTCTCTCCTCAGAAACCGAGGGCGTGTCACGGGCGTGGACGTCTGCTGCGCCATCTTTGTCCAATCACATGCAATCACAAAGAATGAACAAGACTAATTAGTACATATATTAGAAATAGATTCAAAATATATAAACAAAACACAAATTAAAAAACCATAGTATTACATGTATTAGGAATAATCTTCATGATTGGGATCATAGGTCTCATCATCACTGTCAAAATTGTCCAAATGGGCAACACTATCCGAAGGTTCTATGTTGTCATCGTCGTCATTGCCTAGAAGTAATCGCTCAAGCATTGCTATGTCCTTGGCATTTACCACCACATCTCCATCGACCTCATCATCAATCATTTCGTTGTCTACTTCCATTTCGATTGCTTCGGGTAAGACTATCTCAAACATGCCTAGTAGCTCATCTTCTTAATAGAACTGACCATCATATGTGTTTGCGTTGAAGTTGTAATCATCATCGTTTGGGGCAGGTAGTTTACCATGTGGAGATACCTGGTGCACAATAGCCCAACCCTTAAGATCCTCTTTGTCTTGGTTGGCGTATCGAGTATAATACACCTGCACGGCCTGTTGAGCCACAATGTAGACATCTTTTCCAGGATAGATGGAATCTTCTCGAATCTCCACTAGCCC